ATGGATTAATGATTGTGCATTGAGCATTGACCCCCCTATACAGAATTTTATTGTTGTTAACAACCATTTGATCAATAAATGAGAGATGCCCTCTCAAAAAAAAAAATTAAAGGTTTTAAAAACAGAGATGCTTAAAACACAGTTCACAAGGTTACAGAGCAGAGGCTGTGAGGAGCACCACACACAGATTTCATGTTACTTCACAGAACACTCCCTAACCCCACACAGAAAAAGTGAGTCTATCCAGAGTAAGTGGGGTCTGAACTTGGGTCAGCCTGGCTGGCTACAAATCCTGTACTTTCCCCACTATTCAAGGAGGCTTGGAAACATCTCTGGTACTCCAAACTAACACAAACATCCAGGTTATGTATTAAAACCAAACCACAATTTTTCAAGGGACCCAGGAAAAGCATCACACAGAATGCAGAAATGAATGCCACTTGCACTGTAATTATCCCATGAAGCAAAACAAAAGGGTGCTACAATGGCCTGAATAAAGTAATTCTGGACACACCATGAAAACACTCAGAACAATACATTCAAAGAAAAGAGACTGCCCTATTCTAGAACAATACTTGGGCTATTCCTCTTAAAGTTTTTGAAAAATCTCATCTGAAGTGAGCAGTTCACCAACTATTAAAGTTCTCAGTTTTACTTTCCTTTCCATGAAATGACTTTGGAACAATGTGCAAATTGCATCAGTGTCCTGGGGCAACTGAAAAGGATAAAAGCAGAACTGGTTTGATAATTTTCTAACTTCTGAGAGCAGCTGCAAATACACAATGACTCGGAAACATCACAGAATTGAATAAAATGAGACAAAGGAAAAGTCTCTGTCGACTTTATTCAAATTATCCTCATCATCTGCTCTCCACGGGCATTTCTCTGTCAGTGATCATAAAGTTCTTTTTTTGTTCTAATAATTGGATGCTTTTCTTCTTGGCAATCTTTAACTCCAATAAATTATATTGCTTGGGGGTAGAATTAATTTTCATAGGATAAGCTAGCTTCGAGATAAAAACACTTCCTAAAAACCCAAAACCATCTTTTAGAAGGCCCAACTTGTGGTTCAATTTTGTTATCTGTATCTTGCCATCAGGTTTACAAGTACCTAAACACAGGACAGAGGTGAAGGTTCAGAGAGGTACTGAAGGTAAAGTGCTGGCATTGACAAATGATTCAACCCAGATCTCTTTGAATCAAGCCAATAGGAAAAGAGAGGTTTGCACCTGTGCTCGAACATTATTCTCACTCTCAGAAGCTCACGGCCAGAATTCCTCTAGTCCCGCACAGATAAAAGGACAATAATGTTTTTTCATGAATTGACAAAGGGTGAGTGGTGGGGGAAGGGAGTTCCGGAGGCTGGAGGGGTCTTTGACTAAACCTTCTCACATTTTCTATCATCTTTAATATCCCTATTTCAAAATGAAAACTTCAGGTAAAATACTACAGGTATAAGTCAATACTATTGAATACCTTGGCTCCCCTCAGGGCTTTTAAGGTTAAATCACTAAATCGGCGGGGGTGGGGGTGGGGCGAAGTCACTTAACAGAACGGCAACGGCAAAACCTCGTGTGCTCGAGAGGAACCCCGGAGGGCAGAGCCAGAAGACGGGTCGTGAAGAGCGCAGGGCACAGACCGGGGCCGGGACCGGGACAGCGGTGCCCCAACGGCCGTCCTCGGAGGACCGACCCTCGGCGTCAACACACCGCGCGCAGCCAGCCCGACGACCTCGCCCGGCCGGTTCTGCCGTCGGGGCTAAAGCCCTGCCCTTCAGAGGGCGCACGGAGGCCACCACGCCCACCCACCTGCCCCGACGGCCCTGAGCCGGGCGCGGACCGCCGCGGAAGCGATGCCGCGCCCGCCCGCAGAGCCGGGGACGGCCTCAGCCCGCGGGGCCCCGGGCGGACGCAGGGGAGGGCCCGGGGCGGTCCGCGGAGTCGTGCCCTTCGCAGGCCCGGCCGGAGTCGCCGGCCCCTGCCCCCGAGTGGCCTCCTTCCCGCCCCGGCCCAATAGCCCCCAGTCTCGCCCGGGGCGGAGGCGCGGGGACCGCCCGCCGCCAACTCACCGGCCTGGTCAGCGCCAGGCGCTGGGCGCGCAGCAACCGCGACACCGCCCGGACCCGCGACATATCTGACCTTCGCAGCACCGTCCCACCAGTCCTCGCGCAGCGCCTGCGCACGATGACGCGCCCCCCGTGACGAACAGGGGCACTGCGCCTGCGCACCCCGCCACAATCCGGGGGTGATCGCTAGGGGGTCCCTGCGCCTGCGCGGAGAGGACCGCGGAAGCTGGCGCTCTAGGCCTGCGGTAGGTCCGAGGTCCCGGGCCCGGAAGGTGGCGGTGTTCGGGGGCCGGGCGTGCGTTGGGGGTTCAGGGGTAAGTCTGGCACCGAGGGTGGGTTGCGGGCCGGAGCGGGGCCGCAGTCGGGGGTCCATTTGGTGTCGGAATGGGTTCTGGAGTCGGGGCAGGTCCGGTGGGAGCGGGCCGGTGTCGCGGTGGGTCTGGGGCCGGGGATGGGGCGGCGCCCGGGTCGGTTCTGTGGACCCGGTTCAGCCCCCGGGGCTAAGGTGTCCCTGTTGACTCGCTTAATTCACCTCCGGACCACAGAGTGTTCTTATTTTCGAGTGTTTATGTCCGATATCTGAAATCTGTGGAAAGAAGTGGGATGGAAAATAAACCAGTAGTCGTAATTCCTGTAACCGTTATTTTGTTTTTCATCTAACTTTATTAAGATTTTCCTGGTGCAAAATTGTGTGCAAACATAATTTTGAATTATTTAATTATGTTTACAGTGGACCGGCCCCTTATATTGACATTTATGTTTTTTCTTAAAGTTTTTGCTACTGGTAACTAAGGCCATAAAAAATATGTGTGCACTGACTTTGCGTTTATTAGAATTACTTATTCCTCAGTCTGGGCTTTACTGCCTTGGAGGGAATGAGCACCATTAAAAGTTAGAATTATTAGATAACCACTGTTTCTGTTCTTTGGTTACCACAAACTACTGAACATTATGTCATGAGCCACCTTTTTTTTTGGCATTTCTTTATTGCCAATGAGAACTTTATATTTCTAGGTATTAATTATTTATTGAAAACCCTATTAAAATTTTCAAACTAAGTTCCTTTTTCTTATTTGATTATTTGTTATGATCAGCATTTTTTGTGGCAGTCCATAGAAATAAGCTGAAAGCTTTCATGACTCTTTTATGAAAATGCCCAACCTAGTGTAGGTACTTAGTAAATTCGTAAATTCATGTTAACATCAGGTCCCATCCTAGTTATTGAGGCAGCGTGAGCTTTAAGCAGAAATGCCTATAGTTCTGGTGTTCATCGCCACCAGTGTCTCCCACACACCCTTTGCCTCGGCCTCTCAGCCCTATACACCATTCTCTGAAGCAGCCAGTGTTTTCACAACTTCCTATTTATGGATTTTTACCTACAACCGTACTTTTAAACATTTTCATTAGAAAACGTATCTCATTTTACTTGCATCTCAGTTATGTGAGGTATGTCTCTGTCCTGACTACAGTGTGAGTTGCTTTTGTCTTAAGGCATTGTTTATTTCTCCTTTGAATCCCATAAGGCTTACCCTGTACAATACTCAGGTGAAACTGAACAAAAGTTTTTGGGAATAAAAAAGGGATTCATGTGAGTCTGTAGATGATACACTTGTGACAAATGTATTTTATTCCTATTGTGTGCTTAATAGTTTTGTTATTTGCCTCAAGGTGTATCTCCATGAATAACCTAAATGACCCCCCAAATTGGAATATCCGGCCTAATTCCAGGGCTGATGGGGGTGAAGGAAGCAGATGGAATTATGCCTTGTTGGTGCCAATGCTGGGATTGGCTGCTTTTCGTAAGTTATCATTTTCCTAATAATTGTGTTTTCTGGGTTGAAAGTAGGGAGCCCAAAGACCTTGGAAATGGACCCTGACAGATGAAAGTGTACACCCTAGTTTTGTCTCATACAGTTTGTTTTGGGCAAATTACTTAACCCTCTGAGCTTGTTTCCCCTGTCCAGGGCAGGTAGCATCATGATTACCTCGATGCATTCTGAGGGTGAATAAGACAATATATTCAGAAGCATTGTGTGGAGTAGGTGTCAATAACTGTTAGCGCCCTGTGGAGGCTTCACTGCCCTAAGGGGCTCCCTTGCTCCAATTGCTTTTGTAAAGACGGATGGAGAGGAATAAAATGGACATGAAAGAAAACCAGTCTTGGGTGTCTGTTTAATGTTTAGAAAATCAGTCTTTGGGAGACTTCATCTGTGACACCTCTGCTCATCTTGGCCAGAAATCCTCACCAGTTTGACTGTGTACTACTTAAGGAAATTACTGGCCACAAGTCAGTTGTAATTATCCCCACTACATGATACATTTCCTAATATTCAGGAGTTGTATCCCACATCCCATGCTTCTGGGCTGGCACTTAAGCATGTGAGGAACTGAGGGATTGAATCAAAGAAGCTGCTCTCTGTTTGCATTGGCACTTGCTGTGGACTGGGTTTCTCAGGTCAGCAGGGTTTCATACGGGATGTGGAAGCCATCAAGAGTGGCATTTATCAACTACTCTTTTGTCTGCCTTTACTTCTAGGCTATTCCTGGACCAGCTAGGAGGCTAGTCGATGCCCGTATTTTGTAATATAACTTCTTACCTATGTAATGACACATTTTTGGAGAATTCTTATAAGATTGCAAAGTTAAAATTTTTCTTCAATCACATTACCTAAACAAAATAATCAGGAAGAAAAAAATACTTCTCCACCCTTCTCAGGATCACAAAGCATCATTTCAAAAAGTCCAAGAAGGCAAGAACATCAGAAGCAAAGATTACTGGGGAAGGCTATAAAGCTGGAGATAGGTCTGAAAACAGATGGAAAGTGGGAGTCACCTTGGGGCCTCTGATGACTACAGGAGTCAGTGCCATTCTAAGCCTTCAGCTCACTCATCAGGTTCTTCACCTTTCCGACTTTTAAGTGGTGTTTTTGCAAGGCGGCAGGCTCCTGAGCTTCTAAATGGCAGTACCCTCAGGGCCCTATTTGGGTCTGCAGGCCCTGTGCAGATCATTGAGCCATGATCTGCCTGCTGTTGTCAGCCTTCCTGGGAGGTGATGTTTAATTTTTAAGGAGGAGCCTGAATGTTTCCCAGAGTGGCTGCAGGGTTTTAGCTCTCTCTAGCGGTGTGAGTGATCTAGTTTCTTGGTATTCTTGCTGGTATTTGTTGTGGTCATTATTTTTATTTTGTGGTTTTATTTTACCCATTCTGCTGTGGCTTCAATTTGCATTTGCCTGATGGCTAAAGATTGGAGCAGCTTTTCACATACTTGACATCAGTCTGTCCTCTGCATGGAATGTCCGTTCTGGTCTGCCAGCCGTTTTCTGATAGGATTGTTGGGTTGTGAGAGCTGGACTCTGGTCTGTGGACATGGAGTCTGTACCTTGTCTTTTCATTCTATTTATGGAATCTCTCACAGAACAATGGTTCTAATATTGATGAAGTCCACTTTATCAGTTTTCCCTTTTAAGGATCATGCTTCGCATGCAGGTCTGGGAAATTTTTACCTAGCCCTACATCCTCAAGACTCCCCCCTCTGTTTTTTCTTAAAGTTTTAGTTTTACTTTTTGCATAAAAGTCCATGATCCATTTTGAGTTAATTTCTGTTTAACTTAGAAAACTTAGGTCAAGGTAGGAGAGCAAGGTACAGGCTTTTATTTAGAGATAGAGTGAAAGGACAGAGCTCCCGGCTCACGCCAGGAGGGGACAAGAGAGTCCAGAAAACTTAGGTTTTATTCCATCCTTCCCAATCTGTTTACTTTCTATTTCCTTTTCTTGCTTTCCTGCACTGGCTGGAACTTCCAGGACTCTTAAATGGTTCCTGATGTGAGAGTAAAACGATTCAGTCTTTTCACCATCACGTACAGCGTTAGCTGTGGGTTTTCATAGATGCCTTTATCAAGGCAAGGACATTCCCTTCCCTTCCTCTTTCTCTGAGTTTTTATCATGAATGGGTGTTGAGTTTTGTCTTTATGTCAGTTGATATGATCATGTGCTTTTTGTTCTTTAGGCCACTAACGTGTTGGATTATATCAATTGACTTTTGAGTGTAGAACCAGCCTTATGTGTTTTGAATAATTCCCACTTGATCATGCAATATAATTTTTCTTAAATATTGTAGATTTATTTGCCAGTGTCTGGCTAAGAATGTCTTGTCCATGTTTATAAGGGACATACTGAATAGTTTAGCCCTTTAACCAGCTTCTCTCTTCCCACACCTATTGTGGATCCTTAAGAATTTTTCAGTTAATTATATTTTTCAGTTCTGATATTTGTTTAGTTTTTTATGTCTTCTATTTCATTTCTGAAACTTTCTATTTCTTTGTTTAGACATCTTATGGCTGCTTTAAACTTTTATCGGATGATAATGTCTTTTGTCATCTCAGTATTGGTATCTACTGATTATATTTGTTTAATTCAATTTGAGATATTCCGGATTCTTGTTTGATGGAAACCTGGGCATTTTGAGTATTATGCTGTGACATTCTGGTTCTACTCAATCTTTACCAGGCTGGTTTCTTTGACAGTGCTCATCAGGGGAAAGGTGTGGCTGCCTCCTTCCTGCAGTCAGGGATGGAAGGTCACGCTTCCCGCTGGGCCCCCAGCCTACTGGCATCAGGAAGAAGGCCTGAGCAGGAGGCCCTCTTCCCCGCTACCCAGGCCTCCACTGGGGCTCTCCCAGGTGGCTGGAGAGCTGAGAGGTGGGCACATCTTTTTGCCACATCCCACACAGCTTCCTCTGCCACCACCCCAGGGGGAACCAGGAGGGTTTCCCTAGCCTTTGCCCACCCAGGGGTTGTGGGGATACAGTTGTCTGCTAACGGTTTGGCGTGAGTAGAGTGGTTATTGTCTAAACGTTTTTTGTCTTACGGGGGCCCCTTTCCTAGTCCTTTGGCAGAGAAATTTTTGTTGGGCTTTTACAAGAAAATCTGCACCCATTGGCGCTTAAGTATCAAGTTTTATCTAGAGGCAAAACAGAGTCCTAGGGCACACTCCCAGGTGTTTGTGGGTCCCAGAGTCCCCCTGTCTGCCTTTCATAGTCAGCTGCTTGTTGTGCACAGATGTCCAGTGGCTATTTTCAGCAGAATGAATAGGGAGAGCACTTTTGCTGTCCCAGAAGTGGGAGCCCCAGCTCTCTTTTCTCTGCCTTTTGAAACTAAGGCTCCAGAAAGTTGTGTCTGCCTAAAGTTGTAAGGCAAGAGTGTTCCAGTTCAGACCCAGAATTGAGCGTTTTTGGACTGACATGCTACTAACTCTGACCCTCCCTGGTGATCTCCACCCGGTATGTCTTCCTGGAGACCTCCTGATTAAGGGCACCCACCCAGAACTCCTGGTGACTACAGCCTGTGCCGTGTGGTCCAGGGTACCCTGTGTCTGCACCACTTGACGTGTGTCAGTACAGGACCTGAATGAGACTGCACCTAGACCAGCACAGGAGGTGGCCCTGCCCATCTCCCTCCTTCACCTCTGACCCTCTGCTCACACCAGAGTGGTGTCAGGTCCGATTTCACTTCCTTATCAGCATCTGTGGGGGCTTTTCCAGTGACTGCCCCAGCTCCTCTGGGAGCTGTCTGCTGTCTGCACAGGCATGTGATCTGCTCAGTTGTACTTACTCCTGCGCAGAGGGAGCGTTCCTCCCAGGTCACACTTGGCCATCCAGACTCTGTTCACATCCATCGACTTACGAAGCCTTCCCCGAACCCACCCCAAACTGCACTGGCTCTTTGTTCCTCTCTCCGCTTTGCATGTTGCCCACCTTTCCGTGCCTGTCGGTTACATGAAGCTGCTCCTTTACAGATCAGCTCCCCTGCTGTGGCCTCTGGCAGAAGGAGGAGCGGGAAGGGACACCAAAAGGAGGGAGGGGACCAGGAAGGCTATAGGCACTCCAGTGGTTCCCAGGGGTGGGAGAGCAGCATGGGGGCAGCCTGGCTGTGTGTGAGAGCCCGCACAGGTGACCCCTCAGAGCCGGACTGCCGCCCTTGGTGGCCTGGAGACCTTGAGCTTTGAAGACTTGCTGCACAGTCCTGTCTTCAAGGAATGAGTCCATGCAGGACATGTGTCCTGCACAGGCTGAACCTGCGATTTTGAGGACTCAGTATTGGGCGTGTGGCCCTGACGTTTGTGCCAGGACTGGGCGTGTGGCCCCGGCAGTTGTGCCAGGACTGGGACTGACATTCGTGCCTGGACTGGGCATGTGGCTCTGACATTTGTGCTGGGACCGGGACTGACAATTGTGCTGGGCTTGGGCATGTGGCACTGGTTCTGAATGTGCTGGTTTCCTGCACCAGAAAGTGTCACCTGTCACCACAGTGGCTTCTGTTTTATACTGAAGCACCTGAAACTTTGATGTGCAATAGTGCTGGGAGAGGAGGTGTTTCTGTGCAGAACTGGCACCTCCTTCTCCTCGGACCCGGAGCACAGCAGATGGCCAAGGCCTGGCTGCTGCTGTGCGGTGGGGCCGAGTGGAGACTGCCCACTCCAGCCTCTGCTCACTCTCTGTCCCAGGGTGCTCTAGTTTGGGGCAAGGCAGCCAAACCATGTCTTGAGGTTAAATTTCTTACTCCACCCCACTTGTGTACCCTATCAGACTATAGCTGCTTACTAGTGATCATCAGTAGTGGAACACATTTTGAAATTTATTCAGTTCTGAAATAACTTGGCCAATAATATTTGAAGCATGCCCATGTGTGGAGACCAGCTCCACAAACCAACTGAACTTGAGAGGAGTGTATGAAGAGCTTAAAGAAAACACAGAGAAAGATACAAAAAAAACATGGAAACCAAAGCTGGGATCAGGAGGTTCACTCCCCACTGATGGCAAATGAGTGTTGCACTTTTATTTCTGAGCACAGGCTCACAAAGATGTCACTTCCAGGCTAATCTCATATCTGGTGTTGTCACTTCTGCTTCTGGTGATAGCACTTCCGGTTGTAGCACTTCGTGGTGCCCAGATGCCACTTCTGGAGTGACATCACCTCCGGGGTGATATTGCTTCCAGCCCTCTACACCTGTGTTAATTTTTAAACCTCACCAATAGCATGTGGGGCATTGTGGCCAGAGGGGGCAGTTGGTGTAGGTTTAAGAGCACAAGCAAACAGTGGTAGTTCTTAGCCATAGAAAATCAGGCAACGGAGGGATCCCTGGATGCAGTCTTGTCAGACTAGTCTCTTGGGAGCTCTTACCTGATTTTAAGATAAGAACTTGGCATATTATGTGATTTCATACAAAATATTATATTTTTCATACCTCTCAGCAGAAGCAGACGTGCCTAAGACTTCATTGAAATGCTGCCCTTAGCATTATATTTTCTTTGAATAAAGATCAGAGAACTTCAGCTCTGATGTTTTGTTATGTGTGTTTTTCTCCCCCAATTTCTTCATGTCAGGTTGGATTTGGTCTAGGGAGTCCCAGAAAGAAATAGAGAAGGAGAGAGAAGCATACCACCGTAGGACAGCTGCTTTCCAGCAGGACCTCGAGGCCAAGTACCATGTCATGATCTCTGAAAATCGGCGTACAGTTGCTCAGTTGTCTTTGGAACTTGAAAAGGAACAAAACAGGACAGCCAGCTACCGGGAAGCCCTCATCTCTCAGGGGCGCAAGTTGGTAGAAGAAAAGAAGCTTCTGGAACAGGAACGGGCTCGGGTCATGCGAGAAAAGAGACAGCTGCAGCCCTTGGGAAGTGCCTACCTGAGTTACCTGGAGAAGGAAGACGACTGGCAGAGAAGAGCCAGGCTTCTGCTGAAAGAGTTTGAAGATGCTCTTATGGAACAACAGAGCATCTACTGCACCCTGATTATCCCTCAAAGCAAGTGGCTGGGGATAGAGAAGAGCTTGCTGGTCCGTGAGGCCTCTGACCCGGTTGCTGCTGACCTGGAAATGACGACTGGCCTGGCTGACATATTTCAGCATGATACGCACTGTGGTGATGTCTGGAATACCAACAGATGCCAGAATGGGAGACTCACGTGGCTGTACCTCAAATATTGGGAGCTGATGGTCCAACTGAAGATGTTTGAGAGAGTAGAGAGGGCCCTACTGGAGAAGTGAGGTGAGAGCTATATAAAGCTGCTTCTTGTGACTACAGGTCACTCCGGGGTGCCCCACGCTTTCCCTCCTCCTCCTGCCCTGCTGCCTGTATTGTGGCCTTGTGTGCATACAGCCCACCTGCCCTCTGAGCAGGACGTCAAGGCCTCAGGACACAGGGTGTCCCCCTTGATCCTCTCTGCTGTTAAGGATGCAGTTTCCCAGAAGCATTTTTTAAGCCATCAGAATTTTACTGAGTGGAACAGTATAATGTCCTATTTTAGCTCTATGGTAAATTGTTTTTAAGAAAGTCAATTATGGATCTTCACTGTTAAAGTAATACTCTGTTTTTATCACCCCCTAAATTGTTTTCTCCTCAAATTCTTTTTCTCTCTCCTAAAATTACATTTAGCATTTGTCAGTAATGTATAAAACTGCCTAACAGATGACAATAGAAAGCATCAAGGATTTATATTGTTTTGAAGAGCTTTCCCTGCAAAGGGGAAAAAAACGTGTTTCAGTATTGATACCCTAATGTTTTTGGAATTTCGCTTGTGTCTGTATTCAGTAAGCAGATAGTATTTATTAGCAGTGACAATAAAAAAGCATTGCCATTTAAAAGTATCAGTGCTTTTTATGTGTGTCATTCTTTATTATTTGCACAATGTTATTACATACATCTGAATTCTTACCACAAACTAAAAGGTAGGCAGGCCCCTGTGGCCCCATTGTTCATGAAGCTGCTGTGAATCGGGCTTTACTGTGCTTTAGGTCCTAGTCCTGACCTTAGGCACTAGGTACAGATTGCTACTACCCTCGGGTCAGGGGCACCCCAGCCCACTCTTCAGCTGGATGACGTGCTGGGAAGTCTCGAAGGGTTAGTTGCTCCACAGCTAAGTTGTGTTATGTGGGAAGGTCCAAAGCAGAATCAAAAGGAAGAAGGCACATAGGTGTACAGTTGCTCAGTTGTCTTTGGAACTTGAAAAGGAACAAAACAGGACAGCCAGCTACCGGGAAGCCCTCATCTCTCAGGGGCGCAAGTTGGTAGAAGAAAAGAAGCTTCTGGAACAGGAACGGGCTCGGGTCATGCGAGAAAAGAGACAGCTGCAGCCCTTGGGAAGTGCCTACCTGAGTTACCTGGAGAAGGAAGACGACTGGCAGAGAAGAGCCAGGCTTCTGCTGAAAGAGTTTGAAGATGCTCTTACAGAACGGCAGAGCATCTACTGCAGCCTGATCGTCCCTCGCAGCAAGCGGCTGGGCATAGAGAAGAGCTTGCTGGTCCGTGCGGCCTCTGACCCGGTTGCTGCCGACCTGGACATGGCGACTGGCCTGGCCGACATATTTCAGCATGATACGTACTGTGGTGATGTCTGGAATTCCAACAGACGCCAGAATGGGAGACTCATGTGGCTGTACCTCAAATATTGGGACCTGATGGTCCAACTGAAGACGTTTAAGAGAGTTGAGAGGGCCCTATTGGAGAAGTGAGGTGAGAGCCATATAAAGCTGCTTCTTGTGACTACAGGCCACTTGGGGGTGCCCCACGCTTTCCCTCCTCCTCCTGCCCTGCTGCCTGTGTTGTGGCCTTGTGTGCATACAGCCCACCTGCCCTCTGAGCAGGACATCAAGGCCTCAGGACACAGGGTGTCCCCTTGATCCTCCTCTGCTGTTAAGGATGCAGTTTCCCAGAAGCATTTTTTAAGCCATTAGAATTTTACTGAGTGGAACAGTATAATGTCCTATTTTAGCTCTATGGTAAATTGTTTTTAAGAAAGTCAATTATGGATCTTCACTGTTAAAGTAATACTCTGTTTTTATCACCCCCTAAATTGTTTTCTCCTCAAATTCTTTTTCTCTCTCCTAAAATTACATTTAGCATTTGTCAGTAATGTATAAAACTGCCTAACAGATGACAATAGAAAGCATCAAGGATTTATATTGTTTTGAAGAGCTTTCCCTGCAAAGGGGAAAAAAACGTGTTTCAGTATTGATACCCTAATGTTTTTGGAATTTGGCTTGTGTCTGTATTCACTAGGCAGATAGTATTTATTAGCAGTGACAATAAAAAAGCATTGCCATTTAAAAGTATCAGTGCTTTTTATGTGTGTCATTCTTTATTATTTGCAAAATGTTATTACATAAATCTGAATTCTTACCACAAACTAAAAGGTAGGCAGGCCCCTGTGGCCCCATTGTTCATGAAGCTGCTGTGAATCGGGCTTTACTGTGCTTTACATCCTAGTCCTGGCCTTAGGCAGTCGGTACAGATTGCTACTACCCTCGGGTCAGGGGCCCCCCAGCCCACTCTTCAGCTGGATGACGTGCTGGGAAGTCTCGGAGGGTTAGTTGCTCCACAGCTAAGGTGTGTTATGTGGGAAGGTCCAAAGCAGAATCAAAAGGGAGAAGGCACATAGGGCAGAGGAAGGGGACCCGGTCTGCAGAGCCCCCTCCCATGCAGCCGCCCAAGATCCACTCGTTCCCCTGGTGACAAGTCTCGAGGACACATGGGACGTGTTGCTGAGCAGCACCCAGGGCTTCCGCGGAGGGCTGGCATACAGGTGCCCTCTGCCTGGCACATACGCAGTTCTAAACTCCCAGAAGGAAAGCAGGGCTTCTAAGCTCTTAGCACAAATTTGAGGCACTGCGACCTGCTCTGACTAGTTTAATGGTGATGGGAGCCCTCCCAAAATCCGGGTTCCCAGAGGCCAGCCAAGAGTCAGCCTGGTGAGCAGGCCTTTGAAAGGACTTCAGTGTCAGGCCTGCCGTGTGATCTCTTCTGCGCACCCTCATTGTACAGGGATGAGGGAAGTAGAGCAGGTGAGGGAAAGCCAACCTGGTGAAGTCATGCGGGTAATGTGGGCCGGAATGAGCCCAGGCAATTTGGCTCCAGAATGCTGGTGCCCTCCATGTGGTTGTTGGATGGTCTAGCAGTGACTGGGGGAAGGTCCATCTGCTTTTGAATCCTGTCTGTATGGTAACACACTTCTAAAATACTAAACTTAAAAGAAACCGGTTTAATTATGGGGTAGTAATGATTAGAGTGGCTGTTTGTTGAGTATCACACACTGAAGCTTATGTAATTCATGCTTGCATGTGTTTTCAACCTTTGGTGCCATTTTAGAGACCAGGGAACCAGTTAAGAGAGCTGAAATAAGTCACCCAATACATCCTGGGGCCTCTGCTCAGAATGCTTCTCGTGGCTTGGAGTGCCGTCTTCCTGCTGCACTGCCACCACTTGATCTGAGCATAATTTCTTCAGGAAAATATGGACTAAAAAGTTTCTCTGGTGGTATTTCCTGGAGGTTTATACCCTTGCTTAGAGTGGGATGTATTCTAGTTCCTGTCATGCCACTGATTTGCCTTGGATAACCCTCTTAATGCTTTTCTCTTGGTTTTGTCTTCAAAATACAGCCAGCCATTTAGTAAATGAATTTAAATGATTTTCAAGGTGAATTGTTAACTCTTACCCTATTTTCTAATGCCCAGCATGCTTCAGTGTAGCCTCCTTGAATAGCTAGATAAACATATTCAGATCATTCAAATCAGTTTATATACTGGCTTGAGACTGCAGGAAGACCAGTTTTCTATAGAAAATGATACTGGGGAGAGTTTGTATTTGTGTGGCATGGCTGCCTTCCATTCGCAAGTTTAATTAGGGTTAATTTGATGCCATTCTTCCTTTTAAAACTGATTTTGTTAGTTTTGGAATGTTTGCATGTTGTAATGATTTCACAGGGGTCCCAAGAGGAGTCTGGATAAAGTGAGATTGTAGTGGAACAGTACTGAGCTAAAATGGTTTGTATAATTAGGACAAAGACTCGGAGCCCAAGAGCTATTTGATGTGTGTGCAGAATTCACAGGGACTTAAGTGTAAAACATTATTTGCCCTCCCTTCCCTGAAGTTGCAGAAACCGAAACCTTGAGCCCCAAGGTGAGGAGAGTGCTCTGGGGTACAGGATCCTGCAGGAGACAGGTCCTCACCCGTGAAGGGAGCCTTTTCTGCTGTAGAGAGGTTGCCATTCCTTGGGGGTGTGTTCTTCATTGATTTGGTGATGTCACACTGTGGATGAGGTTGCAGTGGCTTAGAAGGGCTTTAGGGCAGGGGGCAGGGGACAGATTTTATTTTCTAATTGGGCTTCCTGTGGAAGTACCTATTTCAGGTGCTCTATTTTGGAATAAAGTTAGAAGGTATCAGGATTGACCTGGACGTTCCAAAAATAAAATGAGGAGCAGGCTATGACTGTGAGTTGATCTAGGCAATTCATCTGTTCAATCGCTTTTTTCCCCTTGTTAAAATCCATAGGGATAGCTATAGAATTCTTACATGTATTTCTCTGTGTAAAATATATATATGGATTGGAAGATAATGTTGATTTAATGATAACAAAATAATTGCAAACACTGTACCAAGGATGTGATATTATGACAGGGAAGAAACATCACCAAAAAAACTGTGTTCTTGAAAAGAAAAAAGTATCTAATTACAATATGTAGCTACGCATTCCAGGCTGAATTTTTTAAGAAGTCTGATAGCTGAATAATTTACTGAGATCATCTCAGGAGAGGAAAGGCTTTCTGATTAGCGGCTTTGTCTCAGTCTTACTGCATAAAAGCAAATCTGTGATAAGTGTACATGAACTAATAAAGGTCTGGGTGTCTCGTGACCAAGCATGAGGGATGGCCATGGGCACAGCAGAAGTGGTACTGCGGGTGGAAATGCGCCCTCCTGGGTCCTGCTGGACCTTGCAGCTCAGCTTTGGAGGCCAGCTAGATGGGCCTGCTGGTGGGCCTGGTCCACCCGAGACAGGTCCTCCCTGCATGTCTGAACTGGGTTCCAGGGGCTGATGCCAGAAGAACTCTCATCCATCCTAGGAATGACAGAAACAGCCACTCTGATTCTCTCTACATTAGGACCCTGGTTGTGAGCAACAGAGATCAAGTCAAACTAGCTCAGAATTCATCAGTTCAAGCTAGTTTACAAGGGGGTTTATTTTAAGACTCAAGGAGCCTCAGGGTGATAATGGAGAATGAAGGCCAAACTTCAGAGAGGAACCAGGAATGGTGAATAAACAGCCACCAGTGACTCTGCGGCAGTGGGCCTCCTTGCTCCCGGCTCAGCGTGTGTTCTGATTCTCTCCCTGCAAACAGCTCTTCTTGGGTCTCAGGGTCGGAACCACTCCTGAGCTTCTGTCCTGACAGTTCTCCTGAGTGTGGCAAAGCCTGGGAACCCCTGGGTTAAACAGCGCTGGGCATTTGAATGGAGTGGGAGCGGGAAAAATGGGGGTGTCTTTTGTTAGCCTCACGGAAAATCTTGAGAAAAGAAAAGGACTTGTAAGCCGACCCTCCCTGCAGGTGTGCAGAGGGAGCCATGGGCCTCTGTGGCAGCTCTGCAGGCAGTGGCCTCCTGCAGTCTTCAGGGAAACTAAGCCTCTCGTGAGGGTGATGAATGGCAAGCAGTGCACTCAAAGCCTTGATGGGTCCCACAACAGAGTTGTGATGCCGAAGAGTTGGGGCCTGAGCCTGGGTGGGACATCAGTGGGGAGCCTGAGAATTGGAACCCCGATTCATGTGAGCCCTTCACATGGCCCAGGCAGCCCCCTCCAGAGACCTCTGGGTGTCCAGCACCTCACGGTGGTGAGAAGGCAAGACCTCGGGGTGGCCTAAGGGCATGGGCGCAGTGGAGAAAGGCCAGAGGCCAGGCGCACTGCTGCAGCACTCACGCCCTGCACTGGTGTCCTGGTGGGACACCAGATGCACACACAAGGACCCCCATCTCCACTGCAGTGGTTCGAGTGAGGGGTTGGCCCCATCAAGAGCTGGCCTTTACCCTCAGAAAACACTTTATTTTCAGACTTGGGTCCTTTTAAAAATTCTGAATTGCATTGAAATTAAAGCCACAGCTGAATAAGCCACCACCTGTTTTATTAGTATGTAATCATCATAATGCTCAACCCTTCACAAGTCAGATCTTGGTAGAAACCAAGTCCCAATATTGAAATTAACCACCCTTCAAGTGCTAGGACTCAAATAACCATGCAGGAGACTCCTCTGGGCCTGAGCAGAGGGTCTGGGTCCTGTTGGAGGTGGGAGATGGGGGGCAGTGTCCTCACAGTTACTGTCTTCCCTCCAGGGACAGAAGCCACCCTGTGCCCTGAGGCTCAGCCTTGTGCCAGCAAAGCCCAAGCCTGCTGCTCACGCCCTCCTAGGTCAGACAGGAGCCATTAACAACCAAATCCCTTGTCCTGTGCTGGACTGGAGGTTTTAAGTGTGCAAACATGTCACTGCCTCCCACACCCACTGGAGAGGCTGCCAGGCACGCAATCTGGTCATTCCCTGCTCCTCCCTCTGCTCAGCCCAGCCAAGTCCTGTGGTGGGCCAGCACTGATCCTCCTGCCTCCTGCTAGCCTCGCACGGGCCATCCTCCGAGCGCCCACCCCATGCTGACATTTGGTTCTCAGTGCTTCTCTGATGCCTACCTCTGTGTGGGGTGCTCCTGCTGACCCCTCAGCATTCCCACTCTAGGGCTCGGCTGCAAGTTGCCCTCACGCTAAAGTGGTCTTGGGTGACTCCTGGAAGCCAGGGCTTCCTCTGCGACGGCACCTAATGGATGCTGTGTGCAGTGTTCATTAAGAAATGCTTTGGAGCAGATGTGCAGCCCAGGCCACCTGGCAGCTGAGGTGTGAGACTCGCCCTGGCCTGTGCAAGGCCCTACTCCATCTGCTCCAGTGCTCTGGAGAAGTTCTCCAGAGCAGTTTTGAAAGCTTGCAGCAAGAACATTCCAAGTTCATTGCTCGTTTCTTGAATGTCTGGGTCAAAGCTTCCAAAGACTGGGGTGCAGGCCCGGATGTCATCCCTGCCAGCCCGCAGCAGCAGTGCGTGCAGGTCCCTGGCAATCTCATCATATTTTTGCTGGTCGAATTTGGACATGGCCAGCTCATCCTGGGGGTAGGCGGTACCCTCGGGGTAGCAGTCCTTGGGTACTGGGAATTCTATGCACCGCAGCTCTGGGAGCTCACAGAGAGCGGCAAAGAGGCGCCTCAGGGCAATGGCCGACAGCGGGTTCCCCAGGAACCGGAGCTCACGGAGCTGGCGGCAGGGGCTCAGTGCCATCCCCAGCATGCCCACATGATTGTCTCGGATGCTGCACTCCTCCATGGTGAGGACCATCAGTGTCGGGGCGGCCCAGCCCAGCAGCCTGGAGAAGGTGGAGGGGAACAGGTCAACAAGGCTGTGCCCACTGAGGTCCAGCACCTCCAGGTGGGTGGCATGGGTGCAGGCTGCCAGGAAGGCCATGTCCGCGTGGTTCAGGGAGCAGTTGGCCAGGTCCAGCACTCTCAGCGGGGTCCCTAGGTTTCTGTGAAAAGACAGCACAGGTGAGAGGGACTCTGGGTGCAGACCGATTGAGCCTGTCTCAGAGGCCAGCAAATTGCAGCCCCTGGGCCAAATCCACCCACTGCCTTAGCTCAGCCTGAGAGCTGAAATGGTTTTTACACCTTTAAATAGCTGAAAAAATCAAAAGAATACTTAGTGATATGTGAAAATTATATGAAATTCCCATGCCAGTGTCCATAGGTAGTAAAGCATTATAGGAACACAGCCACGCTTATTCATTACAGGCTGCTGTGGCCGCCCCATGGCCCCAGTGGGAGGGCCAAGGCATTGAGACTGTGGCCCTGTGGGTGAAGAATCACCTTCACCTGAAAACAGGCCTGGCTTTGTCCTCAGCGGCTAGAATGGCAGATCCGTCTTGTCAATGAGCCACCATGCTCTGAGTGTGGGGATATGTTCAGCTCCCTGCCGAGCGCGCCGTGTCTGCTGGAGGGGGAGATGTGTGGCTTGGCAGGGACTGAAACACTGGTTTCCCTCTGAGTGGAGAGAGGAAGCCCATGATTTTAGGGCAGGAAGGGCCTTGGAGCCGTCTAGCCCAGCCTCAGCCTTGCCTGGGGCCCCACTGAGTCCTGATGCTGGTGGGGTGGGCAGCTGGCACCAGTAAATGCACAACCTGGGTGAGGCTCTGCTCTGGCTGGTGAGGAGTGGCACCCCTATCTGGGTACTTTCTTGGTCCCCTGCCCTCCAACACACTGGGCCAGGGTCTGGTGTCACTTGGCTGAGTGCTCAGTGAGGAGGATGTCCAGGGTCCTGCTGTCTGTCCCCACGTCCTCCTGTTGAGATAGCCTCCTGTCCACCTCTCGCCCCTGCACCCTACATGGAGCCCCTGGCATCTACCCCACAGCGAGCTCTCTGCAGCCTTGCCCAGCCCTGCATGGGGGAAAATGTTCCTACTTGCATCTTTCCTACCCCCTCCCCCACCCACAAGGAAGCCCCACCAACTCTCATCCACATCAGGCCCCAGACTGAGCACCTCTTCCCACCTGCCCCACTCATACCTGCACCTTGAATCTGGATTCATAAAAGGGTCGAGGGAACAGGCCTGACAGCCAAGCCTAGGAGGCCTGTGTCTGGGAGCTTGGATTTGGGCGGCATCTCTGGCCCACTTGTCTGTATGAACAGTATGGTTCATGCTAAACACCTGCCCCTTTTTGGCCTCTTGGTGTGTGCCAGGCAGAGATACCCACCTAACCCCGCCTTATGGCCAGGTCCCATTTTATGGCCCCTCAGTGCATCCTCAACCTTCCCAGGAGGCCCTGTGTGAGCCTGACCCCACTGAGACACTGGGGGCTGCCCGTGCTATCGCTCCAGACTCACCCAAGCAGTTTCTGGGTCTTCCCAGTCAGTGTGGAGAAGGCCACACTCAGCTCAGTGAGCTGGCTCATTTGGCTGAGCTCCCAGGAGATGGAGGTGAAGAAGGGGTCCTCACCATCAGGGGCTGGGGGGCTGCCAGGGGGAGGGTCGAAGGCCTTGGCAGGCAAGGTGAGTGAGGCCAGCCAGGGGAAGCCCACCTGGGTCAGCAGCTGCTGCACGTGGCCTGCATGCAGCCGCACATTGTGTACCACTTCCAGCCTGTGCAGCTCCTGGGGCCCCGCCGGACGCAGCACGTGTAGCAGCTGGCCAGGGTCCAGGCTGTCTGCCCTGAAGGAGAGGCAGTGCAGCTGCAGGGGAGTGGGGCCTATCGGCCTCAGGCCCTGCACCACCATCTTGAAGTTGCCATCGGTGACAAAGTGATCAGAGAGGACCTGGATGGGCCTCTGGGCTGTGCAGGGCTCGGTCTGCAGCTGGCAGCAGGTCCTGCACAGCAGCTCCGTGCAGCCCCACCTGCCCAGCGCCCTCCCACAGGGGCACTGCTGCACCTGCACGTCTTGGACTCCTGTGAGGTCAGCCATTCGCAGCCGCCTCCAGCCTTTGGCCTGGAGTATGTCGTCTGAGAGGCCCTGCACAGAGGCCTCCAGGCAGGCCTAGCAGGCCCAGTCCGGCAGGCCCACTGGATGCTCTGCGCTGGGCCCCAGCAGGGCGCTCAGCCTGAACTCCTCCAGCAGCCAGTGCCCCAGCAGAACGTGGATCAACTCTGCCTGCTCCAGAAAGTAGCTGGCTTTGAACAGGAACAGCTAGACGTTGTGGGCCACAGCGTCCAGCCTCTGCCGGGCCACCTGGGGCTGGGACACCAGGGCCTCAGCAGAACAGGAGCGCAGCAACCTCATCCTGTTTGTCTTTGGCCGCCCTCCTCCTCCTTCTCCAAGGGGCATGCGCCTTTCTCGCTATTTTTAGGTGCATCTGCTCGAGCTGCTTGCTTTTGGGCAGAAGGTACCAGCCAGCGCTGCAGTCATCTGACGGCTATTTTGGTCCCGGGTGCCTGTTTGGCTCTGGTTGTGGGGCTGTCGGGAGGTGGCCACCCTGTCCCTTGTGCTTAGCTGGTGAAAGCAGAGCTGCCTGAGGGCTGGGCTGGGGGGTCTGCTGCACCCAGGGTGGAACATGTCTGGGCCCCTCCGCAGAGAATGAAGTCAGGCCCTGGGCACAAACTTCATCAGGGGCCCCGGGGCTGGACTCCCACCCTTGACTTGTCTGGGCCCTGGGGATGTGGTACCAGGAATGGGGATGGCCCTACTGACAAGTGTTTCTTCCATTTGCTTCCTCCCTCCTCTTCCTCTGTCTTCCTTGAGGACCTGGGCAGGCTCTGGCTTCCCCACCTTCCACGGGAGGAACCATGGCTGGAGTGAGCTGGGAGGACATGTGACATGGCCTGGTGGGCTGGGAAGGGCCGAGCTCAGAGCTGCCACCAGCCCAAGGGTCTGCCTGTCTTTGAGTCCATCTCCTTATCTACACTCAAGACCTGGCGGCAGGTGAGATGTGACTGTCCACCATGTGGTGTCTGTGGGGTGGCAGAATCCAGCGCCTGACCTATGCTGCTTGGCGCCAGGATCATTTTGAGCTGAGGGTTCTTGAGAAGCAGCAAGCATAAGGGCACTGACCCTCTCTTCTTCCCAAACAGGAGCAGAAACTCCAGTGAGAGTCGTGCACTCATACCGCCGTATCGGGAAGAAAGAAGCTTTGTCACCAGAGGCAGGCCTGGAGCTCTTTGCTGACAGACTCCTCGGTGGGACTTCCTTTCCACAACTGCCTCTTTACTCCACCTAGTACAGAAACCCCTGGGCTGCCCACTTCTTCAGGTCTTCATTTGCTTATGGGGGTTCCCATCGCATGCACAACTTACATGAAGTAAATTGTGTGCTTTTCTCTTGTTAATCTGTTTTTTGTTACAGAGCCCCAGCTTAGACCTAAGAGTAGTAAAAAAATTCTTCCAATGGCACCCAGTACTGATGGGTGTCAAATGATTATCTCATGACCAGACACCATTGCCGACATCACCGCTGAGGGCAGGGCTGGGCAGTTAGCCCACAGGTCAGCAGGGCCACGCTGGTCTTGGGGGTCATGGCTGGAACAGAGGGAGACAGAGACAGACAGAGAGAGACAGTGACAGAGAGACAGAGACAGACAGAGGCAGAGGGAGACAGACAGAGAGAGGCAGAAAGACAGAGACAAAGATGGAGACAGAGAGACAGAGGGAGACAGAGACAGAGCTGGAGACAGAGACAGAGAGGCTGTGTGAAAAGAGGAGGGAGTGGGCCAATGGATGTGCCAGGTGGAGCTGCCACCCACTGGTGCCCAAGGGCCTGCCCTCCCTGCAGTCTCTGCGGGGGAAGGGCTGAAACCCATGTTGTCAGGCAGGTGAGGTGTGTGCATGAGGCTGTGGTACTTTGCCCCTGACATCACTTGAGTGTGAGTGGCATGGATGTGGGTGTAGACTGGGCAGACCCCAGAGTTAGGCCCAGGGCCACATCCCCTCAGGGTGGCAGGAGCTGGCTTCCTGGGTGGGGTGCATAGGTGACATCCTGGACCCCACAGACCAAGTAAGAGAAGTACAACCAGGTCATGGGAAAGTAAATCCCATTTATTTATGTTCCTAAACTTTGGAACATGCCATCCTTGAAACAAAGTAACAAAGAAACAGTTACCAGCAGACCACACATGAATTCTTCCTCCACAGGTGCAGAGCTCTCCTTGGCATGACGTCACCTCCTGCCGGGAGGGCACCGTCCCATTGGCCACGCCCCTGCCACAACCGGGGTCCCACCTCACAACCTGTGGCCTCAGCCGCTCACTAGCAGTGCGCCCAGTTAAAAAGGAAACGGAATCGAGGTTCCAGCTCTACTCAGAGGTACCAGTGCCAGAACACACCTTGGAGGGGCTGCGTGGGACCCTCACCTACCAGGCTATGTTGCCAGGAAGGTTGCTGAGATGCCCCCACATGCCTGGGCCCCTGCACACTGGGGCAGTCCATGTGCTTCCACTCTGGCAGGGCTGCATTGCTCTTTATTAGTGTGTAGTACATTTTAATAAATGTTTTACCCCAATTTCTGTACCAAATTACAGATTTTTATTTTTATGTCAGTGTTTAAGGGGAGCAATAAATCTATTAAAGTTATTACTTCGGTTATTTGGCAATTTTCATATATATATATTAGCTTAGGTATATTATATTTGCTGTATTAAATTAGGTCTAAAATAGTTTCTATTGTGGTATTAATTTTGAGGTATCTGTGTCTAACATTTAATGAGTATTTGTTAAACACCTAGAATATGTCTATGGTTATAGATTTACCATCTATGAAGGGTCTCTAAAGCATTCATGAATTACTTACCACTACTTAGGATACTTAATGCTTTGTGTTAGGGATGAAGATTTGAATATCAGGCTGCATACTGTTGCCCTAAGTGGAACTATGCTTAAGGCAGTGGACCATCAAAACTTTGCTAATACTCCCATTGTAAGTGAGCCAGGTGGGTAATTGAACTGTCACTATAATTGAAGCTGATGGCCATCTTCTTGCTCTTGATTCCCTGCACCAGTCCATAATACCTTCCCATTTTTTTCTTTAAGCTTTATTTAATAGTAGGAAATACTGGGAATATTTAATTGAACCATTCTAGGAGTGACCAAAGATTGAAAATAACACGTTAAAAGTAAAATTCACGTGTCATTTGGATAAATCATCAACCTGAGTTTGTCAGTAGTAAAAAAAGCAGATAGGGAAATTGAGGTAAAATAAAAGTAAAAGGTTGCTTATCATTACACAATAAATACTATAATTTCCATTATAACCAGGCTGTTTCTATCTTGCAATCTAATATGTTTTCAAAATAATATAACCATTAGATTTTTTCACTTTTGTTAGGATTTCTACATTAATCCTTCCTTTCAAACTCTATCATTAGATATATTTTAAAGCTTGACATCAGCAAAGAGAGATTTGGAGATTACCATGTTATCCTCTTCTGATTTTTTGGTCTCAATTTGAGGTTTGCAAAGTGTTTCTTCCATTTGAAAATATCTTTAAGCATCATCTTAAACTCTTGTTCTTTACTCCTGATTCTTCTTCCTAGCAGTACATCCTAATTAATTTCTTAAGAAACTTGGGTGTAAATGTACAGAAGCTGGTTAATATACTCTGGCTATGTGCTATGTGGTTGACGCATATATGTGCCCCTTTTGGTTGGTGAAATTGCATTAATGATCCTTTTAGCTTTCATTGATATATTCTGATATTCATTTGATTAGAAAATATTCCTTGGCTAATTATACTGCTCAGAAAGAAATGTATGAACTCCAGAATTTCTATGGGATGGATTCTTATTTTTCCATGTTTTCTAGTTTCTTATTATAGTTCATAAAATAGACTTCCTTCACAATGAGAGTTTTTACACTTAGAACAAAGCAACTTCAGATGTGACTGCCTTTAGATAATTTTAAAGGAGTGAGACATTTCAAAGAAATTCTTAGAGTTTTAGGCATGCATGTGCCATCTTCAACTTTTAGATCACTTTTAAAATTTTTACTTACAGATGTTTTGAATTCTGAAATGTCATGAACCAGAACCTGACTTTGGTTCCAGGAGAAAGACCAGAGTAGCACAGGCCAATAAAACGCTCCATAGTGATAGAGATATTCTGTGTTTGCATGTCTTTTGAACACTTGAAATGTGGCTAGTACAACTGAGGAACTGAATTTTCAATTTTGCTTCATTTAAATAAGTTTGCATTTATGGGGTATTGGGGAGACTCGATAGTATGGGTGTAGTAACCACATTGTTTTTCATGTGAAACCTTCATAAATGGAGTCTATATCAATAATACCTTAATAAAAATATTGTATAAAAAATAAGTTTGCATTTAAATAGTAACATGTAGCTGCCCTTTTAGACAAAAAACAGGTATAGAGGCCTGATTCTTTTTAATGCAAATTAGATTTACTGTCTTGGGAAATAGATGTTATGTGCTCTTCTACCTTAAATAATTAGGGATAATGAATTAAAGCAAACTTTTCTTACAGGGTAGGTAAGAGAACAAAACTTAAATCAATTGTACTGTCTTTCACTTAGATAAATACAGTTCTAAATAAATATGACTTTCATACCTTATCATAGAGGTTGAAATAACTTGAATTTTCTCATAGGTGACTTTATATGTTTGTTCATAATTTGATGAAGAAGATCTGAATTTTGTTGCTTTTCAGGCTGTGTGCATGATTGCACAATTGTGTTTATAAAAATAAAATGTGCCATTTTTCTGATTATAAAAGTACATGTTGAGAGTATAAAATTTCAGAAATATAAAAGGTGTAAAAGTAACTATAGTCACTTGTTAAAGGATACACAAAATAAAAAGATGTAAATTATGGCATCAAAAGTGTAAAGCATGTGGGATTTTAAAATGTAGAACTTTAAAATGCTTTCCAAATTATCAATTTAAAATAGATAATTATAAATATTAGTTTTATGTAAGCCTCATGGTAACCACAAAGTTAAAAGCTATAGTAGATACACAAAAAATAAAAAGGAATCTAAGCATACCACTACCAAAAAAATCAAATCAGAAAGAAAGAGAGCAAGAGGAAAAAGAAAGGAACAAAGGAATTACAAAACAACCAGAAAGCAATAAACAAAATGGCAATAAGTACATACTTATCTAAAGTTACTTTAATTATAAATGGACTAAATTCTCCAGTCAAAAGACAGAGTGGCTGAATGGATTAAAAATAATAAGACCCATGTATATGATGCCTACAAGAGACTCACTTCAGATGTAAGGATACATACAGACTGAAAGTGAAAGGATAGAAAAAGATATTCCATGCAAATGGAAACCAAAAGAAAGCTGGGGTAGCTATACTTACAAAAGACGAAAGAGACTTTAAAACAGATTAATAAGAGACAATGACATTACATAATGATGAAGAGTTCAGTGCAACAAGAGGATATAACATGTAAATATTTATGCACCCAAAGTGGTAACACCTAAGTATACAAAGCAATGTCAGTAGACATAAAGGGAAAAATAGACAGCAGTACAGTAATTGTAGGGGACTTTTAACATCACACTTTAATCAATGCATAGATTATTCAGACAAAACAATCAATATGGAAACACTGGCCTTTAACAGCACACTGGACCAGATGAACTTAACAGACATATACAGAACATGCCATCCCCAAAACAACAAAATGCACATTCTTCTGAAGTATCCATGGAACATTCTCCAGGACAGATCATATGTTAGGACACAAAACAGGTCTTGATAAATTTAAGAAGATGGAAGTTATATCAAACATATTTTCCAGAGACAATGGTATAAAACTTGTAATCAGTTACAAGAAGAAAAATGGGAAATTCACAACTATGTGGGATTAAACAACATGCTATTGTAACAACCAATGCATCAAAGAAGAAATAAAAAAAATATAGGGAGACAAATAATGGAAATACAACATACTAAAACACATGGGATGCACCAAGAGCAGTTCTAAGAGGGAAGTTCATAGCAATAAATGCCTACATTAAGAGACTAGGAAGTTTCTCAAGTAAACAACCTTAGTTAAAACCTCAAGAAATGAGAAAAATAAGAATAAACCAGACCCAAAGTTAGGAGAAGGAAGGAAATAAAAAAATGAGAGTGGGAATAAATGAAATAAAAACTAAAAAGTTCACAGAAAAGATCAATGAAACTAAGAGCTCTTTTTTTGAAAAGATAAAAAGAATAGACAAACCTTTAGTTAGAATTAACCATGATAAAAAGGACTGAAAATCAGAAATGAAAGAAGAGGCATTACAACTGATTTTGCAGAAATATAAAGGATCACAAGAGACTACTGTGAACAATTAATATGCCAACATATTGGACATCATAGAAGAAATGGATAATTTGGAAACATACAACCATGATTCAAGATTGAATCATGAAGATATAGAAAATCTGAAGAGACTGATTACTAGTAAAGAGATTGAATCAGTAATCAAAAACCTCCCAGAAAACAAAACCCAGGACCAGATGGCTTCACTACTGTAGCCTAATGCACATGTAAAGAAGTAATACCAGTCCTTCTCAAACTCTTCTGAAAAACTGAAGAGGAGGGAGTACTTCCAAATGTATTTTATGAAGCCAGCATTACCTTGATAACCAGAACCAGGCAGAGACACTACAATAAAAGAAAGTTACAGGCCAATTTCCCTAAGGAACATAGGTGCAAACATTTTCAGTGAAGCACTGGAAAACATAATTCAACAATACATTAAAAGGATAATACACTATGATTAACCGTGACATATCCCAGGGATGCAAATATGGATCAATATCTGCAGATCAGTGTGATCCACCACATTAACAAAATGAAGGCTGAAAATCATGATTATCTCATTAGACACAGAAAAGCATTTGACTAAATTCAGCATCCATTTGTGATAAAAACTCTTAGCATAAGTATAAAGGGAAGAAAGCTCAACATAATAAAGTCCATATATAAATGGCAAGCCCACTGCTAATATCCTACCTAGTAGCTAAAAGCTAAAAGTTTTTCCTCTAAGATTGGGAACAAGACAAGGAAATCCCCTCACCACTTTTATTCAACATAGTATTAGAAATACCATCCAAAGCAATTAGACAAGAAAAAGAAACAAAAGATATCCAGATCAGAAAGGAAGAAGTAAAACTATCACTGTCTACAGATGACATGATGTTATTATATATAGAAAACCCTAAAGACTCCACCAAAAAATGGTTAGAACTAATAACTAACTGAATTCAGCAAAGTTGCAGAATACAAAATTAATACACAGAAATCTGTTGCATTCCTATATACTAACAACAAACTAGCAGAAACAGAAATCAGGAAAACAATTCTATTTAAAACTGCATCAAAAAGAATAAAATACCTAGGAATAAACCTAGCCAAGGAAGTGAAAGACCTATACTCTCTTCATGAGAGAAATTAACCAATAAATGGAAATAATCTCATGTTCATGGATGGGATGGCCATCCTGCCCAAAGCAAGTTACAGAGTCAGTGCAGTCCCTATCAAAATACCAATGGTATTTTTCAATGAGCTAGAACAAATAGTTCTAAAATTCATGTGGAACCACAAAAGACCCCATATAGCCAAAGCAAGTCTGAGAAAGAACAAAGCTGGGGTAATTATACTCCCTGACTTCAAGCTCTATTATCAAACTACAGCAATCAAAACAATATGGTACTGGCACAAGAACAGATCCATAGATGAATGGAACAAAATAGCCCATATATAAACCCATACATATATGGTCAATTAATAGAATAATATAAAGAAGCCATGAATATACAGTGGGGAAAACATAGCCTCTTCAACAACTGGTCTGGGAAAACTTGACAGCTCCATGTAAGAGAATGAAACTGCAAGCAATCCATATTTATGGATAAACATATTTGAGAAATGTATACAAGATAACAAGGAAGAGAATCTCTAACTTTTTAAAAATTAAATTTTTTCTAAATCACATTAGTTTAGTAGGAGTAGCTTATAAGAATTTAATTGGGGGATATTATGTTCCCTGACTTCAGGCTATACCACAAAGTAACTCTAATCAAAACAAGATGGTACTGGCACAGGAACAGACCCATAGATTAATGAAACACAATAGCTCAGATATAAACCCATGCATATATGGTCACTTAATATGTAATAAAGGAGCCATGAGTATACAATGGTGAAAGGACACTCTCTTCAACAACTGGTGTTGGCAAAACTGGCCAGCTACATGCAAAAGAAAGAAGCTAGATTACTGTCTACAACTCTACACACAAAAGTAAACTCAAAATAGATCAAAGATCTAGATGTAAGAAATTAAACCATAAAAATCTTAGAACATAGGCAAAATCTCTCAAACATAAGTGTGAGCAGTTTTTTCCTGTACACACTGCTCAGGAAGAAGAAACAAAATAAAAAATGAACAAGTTGGACTATATACCAAACCAAAATGCTTCTGTACAGCAAAGGACACCATCAGCAGAACAAAAATGTAACCTACAGTATGGGAGAGTATATTTGTAAATGATTTGTCCTATTGGGGTTAACATCCAAAATACATAAAGGACTCATACTACTAAACACCAAAGAAAAACCTGATTAAAAAATGGGCAGAAGACCAGAACAGACATTTTTCCAAAGTAGAAATACAGATGGCCAACAGGCATATGAAAAAGTGCTCCACATCATTAATCATCAGGGAAATGCAAATTAAAACCACAATAAGATATCACCTCAGACCAGTTACAATGGCCACTATCCAAGAGAAAAGAAAAAACAAGTGTTGGCAAGGATGTGGAGAAAGGGGAACCCTGCTACCCTGTTGGTGGGAATGTAAACTGATATAGCCACGGTGGAAAGCAGTGTGTAGATTACTAAAAAAATAAAAAATAGAAATGCCATATGACCCAGTAATTCTTACATGGAGCTCCAGGAATTTACCTGAAGAAAACAAAATCACTGATTCAAAAAGATAAATGCACCTCTCTGTTTATTGCTGCATTACAGTAGCCAAGTTATGGAAACAGCCTAACTGTCCATTAGTAGAGGAGTGGATAAAGAAGAGGTGGTATATATGCACAATGGAATATTATTCAGCCATAAGAAGAAAATAAATCCTGCCATTTGGAACAACATGGATCAACCTAGAGGGTAGTATGCTAAGTGAAATAAGCCAGGCAGAGACAAAACACCATATGATTTCACTTATTTGTGGAATCTAAACACAAAACAAAATGAATGCAACAGCACTAGACTTACAGACACTGAGTAGTGACTTGTAGTTACTATGGGGGAGGGGTTGGGGTGAGTAGTTGAGGGTGAGGGGAGTAAAAGGGCACAAAAATTTTCAGTCATAAGTTGGTCAGAGGGATAGTAGTATAGCATGGAAAATACAAGCACTGCTTCTGTAATATTTTCCTATGTTGACAGTAACTGCAGTAGAGGGGGTGAGGATTTAATATGGGTGACTGTAGAACCACTGTGTTGTGTACTTGAAACCAATATAAGATTAAATATTAATGATACTTCAATTAAAAAAATATTTGAAATGGAAAATATCCTTTGAATCCACTGAAGTCCGCCACAGTTTAGATTTAGTAAATCTCTCTGGTTTTTTAGCTAAGTTCAGTGTTCTTTGACTAAATTGAGATGTTCAGCTTTATAGTAAATGACAGAATCAAAAATCGTACTCTGGATTGATATACTGATGGTAACCCATTTAGAATTTTTTTTTTGAGAGGGCATCTCTCATATTTATTGATCAAATGGTTGTTAACAACAATAAAATTCTGTACAGGGGACTCAATGCTCAATGCACGATCATTAATCCACCCGAAGCCTCATTCTCATCAGTCTCCAATCTTCTGAAGCATAACGAACAAGTTCTTACATGGTGAACAAGTTCTTACATAGTGAATAAGTTCTTACATGGTGAATAGTACAAGGGCGGTCATCACAGAAACTTTCAGTTTTGATCACACATTATGAACTATAAACAGTCAGGTCAAATATGAATATTCATTTGATTTTTATACTTGATTTATATGGAAATCCCACATTTCTCCATTATTATTATTTTTAATAAAATGCTGAAGTGGTAGGTAGATGCAAGATAAAGGTAGAAAACATAGTTTAGTGCTGTAAGAGAGCAAATTTAGATGATCAGGTGTGTGCCTGTAGACTAAGTGTTAATCCAAGCTAGACAAGGTCAATAAGACATCCACGGATGCAGAAGATTTCTCTCAAAACGGGGGTGGGGGGTGAGGTTCTAAGCCTCACCTCTGTTGATCCCCAATTTCTCACCTGATGGCCCCCCTTGGACTGTGCCTGTCTTAGGTTGTTCCTCCCTTGAGGAATCTTACCCGTCTCTGGCTAACCAGTCATCTTCTGGGGCCATACAGGGAAATGTAAAGTTGGTAAGTGAGAGAGAAGCCTTATTGTTTGAAAAGGTTAGCTTTTTACTTCTTTGCATATTTATGCCCTGTGGTTTCCATGCCCAGCATTTATCTTGAGGTATCTTTACCACTTGGAAGAATTATGATACTCGGTAAATTCGATATGAGGCATGAATTCTATTTAAGGGTTGTAATTAGGAAGGAAGAAGAAAAGCTATAGAAGTAGCAGGCAGAAGAAAATGGGAAGATTGATTATTTCTTTGACATATCTTCTTGTAGACTAACTTAAGCATGTATAGGTTTTAAACTACTAATTAAATTGCGCACACACATTAACATAATAGGAGTACAGTTACATAACTAAAGCAGACCTATAATTACCAGCCAGCTCTAGTGAAACCAAGAAAACCACAAACTACTCATTCTTAAAGCTGTTGGGAGGACAGTATGAAGTAGGTGCCCATGTCACCTGCTGAGCCATGGTAGCCTGGCATGGTGTGTCAGAGTCCTGTGAGTAGAGGAGGGAGTTCCACAGACAGACTGCCTTGTATGTCGAAGCAGAACCTATGCAGGTATGCAGGGAGGGGGGCAGTCAGGTTTGGAGATTCAGAGTCCTGGTGGGGTAACCAAAGCATTCATATCTGAAAGTAGCCCAGCATGGGGTGTCAGAAGCCAAGGAGCATGTCCATATTGGGGTGGGTAACCTGACACAGTGACAGTGCCTGATTGAAAGGAAGGGGCTTCCCTACTGAGGGCCTCACTGCAGAAAGTGATTCAGTTTGGATGGAGTTTCAGAAACTGCATGGATGAAGTGGACATTCACGCTGTAGACAGGCTTGGATCAGGGTTTGAAAACTTGATGGGGAAAAGGGGAAAGGGTGGTGGCCAGGATGGGAGACTCGCTATGTACAGGGGCAATTCATCAAATATATTAAGGATAATGAGAGTGACGTTTCTTACTGTCAGAGAAGGGTTTTACAAATAATGGAAAGAGGAGGCTAGAATAAATAGTACTATAGTGTTGGATTGGAGATATTGTAGTGAACTCAGTTGTTTTCAATAAACAACTAAAGATATTTAATGTGCAAGTATGAATACAAATATATCAGGGACGTGTGTGTACCCATCCTCTATCCACTGACAGGATCTAAGAGAAGTGACACGTGCAGTAGCAGTGAGCACACCGACTGCCACAGTTCCTTGGAGAAATGGTTGAGCTGTGTCTACAGTAGGGAAAGCATAAGATGATCCTGGAACATCTAAGTGTGCCAGAAAGCAAGGAACTGATCAGGGAATGATGGAGCCATGCCAGAAAGACAGAAGTCGGCTTAAAAAGCTTCTTAACAGCTCAGAAATGAAGCAATTTCAAATCAAAATAAATGCTAATAGCAGGTTATAAGTTATTAAATGAAGAATCTAAATCCATACAATAAGAGAATAAAATGAAATCTTTATTCAAAACAATATTTATATAGACTCAAGTACCTTTTCAAAATACTCAATAATTACAAAGGAAAAAAGTGAAACTTTACCATGAAACCTTGTGGAATGGCCTTAAGTTTAAGATCAAAGTGAACACCATCACTAACAAGACGATAAGAAAAGCACGACACTTGCTTCTGTGATATTCCTGCCAGAGACGTGTAAACCAAATTTAATAACAGCACAAAGCAAACTGAGGGACATTCGAGAGTCAAAATTGTATACTTGTGAATTGTCAAGGTCATGACTTTAACTGTCACCTTAAGACTAGAAAAAGAAGGGCAAATTCAAGCCACAGTAAGCAGAATAAATAGACCCACAAAAGATCAAAGCAGAAATCAATTAAATAGAAAACAATAGAGAACATCAATGAGATCACAAATTAGTTCTTTGGGAAAATTAATGGAATTAATGAACCTCTAGCTAGATTGAGCAGAAAGAAAACACACACGACCAATATCAGGAATGACAGGGGACATGACTTCAGATTGCACACACATTGAAAGGATTATAGGGAAATTTTATGAACAATTTTATGTAAGTTTAAAATTTAGAAAAAATGGACAATTTCCTTGAAGGATCTGGATGATCGAAGCTCACTTTTGCTACAAAGAACATTATTGGGACATTTGATCGAAACTACAATGGAGTTTGAGGATTAAATAATAATCATGTATTCATATTAATGGTCTGATTTAATGAATGTATTAGGTTCTCTTAGAATGTTCTTGTTTATTGGAAAAATACACTATTTAGGAATATTGTGCATAAGAGCTGCAATTTACTTTCTATTGACTCACTTGAATAAGTTCTCTGAACTACTTGCAACTTTTTTGCTAGGTGGGGTTATTTAAAAAAAACAAACAGTACTTCCAATCTCCTATATAACAGGCACATATTTTAACAGGAAGTTTTCTTTCTTTTATTGCGGAAATGAAGCCTCCTTTATATGAAATGAGTACAGTAAATGCCTTTTTGCACATAGTCCAAAATGAATATATAGATTGCCACAACCTGTAGAGATATTTAATTGAGGAATAGTTTATCATTGATATGGTATAAAACATAGGTAAAAATGACTTGATAATTTATCAGAATTTCCAGATAATTCATAGTTTTTGGATCATTCTAATTGTTAGTATTTATTATTCAGAATGTGGGTTGATGTTGCATCGCTTCTTTGATAATACTGTTTTTCATGTAAAGAAATTTATTGAGAACAGATGGACAATTTTAGGAAACCAGGATTTTCATCAGTGATAGAAAATTTTAATGGGAAATTCTTCAGGTGTATCTAGCATTTGAAAAGTTCTAGGGGACTAGCTACTGTACTTAACAAATACTTAAAATTTCACAAGATGCATGAAGTAGCAATAATTTATTTTTTATCATTATGTAATTAAGGCAAGTTCACAGGTCTTTGCTGCTTCTGCAGAGATGTTTTGAAGAAATCTTGGCACAGAGTTTATTATGGTACATCTGAATAGTAAATACACTAAACACAGGCTGTCTTTACACTGGTTGATACTTTGGGGATTCAAAAAAGAATTCTAGTATAAAAGAATTAAACCTTATTTGAATATTGATGACAAACATTCTTGTATAAAAGACTTAAAAATCTTATTTGAATATTGATGACAGGCATTGATGGAATATATTTTACTTACCGCCTTGCTGAACTCTCATCAGTAACACTATATAATAGTATGTTACAGAATTCTAATATTTTAAAAAATCTTACTGTTTTCTGGAACTTTTATCCATTTGCTCAAAGACACTAAACACTTAGGTATAAAAAATGTTCCTTCCAAAACAAATAGCGTGATGTTCTGAAACATGCTATATGGAAGATGATCCAAGGGTCAAGCAAGAAAGAGACGTGGCTAGAGAAATGAAAAAAATTATCTTAGATTTGAATGCAAAAAGGAAAATGATTGACTTCCCTAATTTACCTCAATGTAGAATGAGTTTTGATACTTAAGTATGTGAGAGCAGGATTTTAAAATAATGTGTGAAAATTTAAAAGATTCATTAATTGCATAGCTTTTGATAGACTTACATGATGAAATATATAGTGTATTGTGTCTGCCTTTTTTTTTTTTATCATTTCTATTCTCCCTCCCACCCATAGGCACATGTCTTATTTTGTGGATGTGTTTTTAAAGGAAATAGCAATATGTTCACTTAATACTTTCCTTTACAATAGGTCCGATTGTTTTCACAACTTTGTAGATTCTTGCCTCCAGAAAATCCCTAAAAATCGCCCTACATCAGAGGAACTTTTAAAGGTCAGTTATACTCTGTTTTGTACACCTAAGAAATTATTTTAAAGAATGTGTTTTATTCTTCTTTGATTCTGAATCAGTATTAAGTATGCTGTACTGGGTTTTGCTAAAATACTAATTTCATAATAACTGTTCTTTTTTTCTTAGATGCTAAGTTTTTTCATTCGTTTTTTAAAATTAACTGCTTTTACCATGTCTGAATAGAATATATAGTTAAATATTCAATATAGTAGTACTAAATGGCTTAATTTTTTTTTGAGAGGGCATCGCTCATATTTATTGATCAAATGATTGTTAACAACAATAAAATTCTGTATAGGGGGGTCAATGCTCAATGCACAATCATTAATCCATCTCAAGCCTAGTTCTCGTCAGTCTCCAATCTTCTGAAGCATAACGAACAAGTTTTTACATGGTGAACGAATTCTTACATAGTGAATAAGTTCTTACATGGTGAACAGTACAAGGGCATTCATCACAGAAACTTTCGGTTTTGATCACGCATTATGAACTATAAACAATCAGGTCAAATATGAATATTCGTTTGATTTTTATACTTGATTTATATGTGGATCCCACATTTCTCCCTTTATTATTATTATTATTTTTATTTTTAATAAAATGCTGAAGTGGTAGGTAGATGCAAGATAAAGGTAGAAAACATAGTTTAGTG